ATGTTACGTTATGTTACGTTATGTTATGCTATGATAAGTTGTGTTGTGCTATGCTATGTGATGTAATGTTTCGTAACTGGTTATGACCGTATGTGTAGTTTACGTGTGTGTTTGTAGTCATGCCATGCACGCCTTCGCGTAATTAATCGCATCTGTATTCCGTGTTCAGAGCATGGGAACCAGGGTAGTCGGCATTGTCAGGTTCTGTGGCTGTGATCTACGGCAGTGTCATCGTTTTTCGCTTGCGATTAGAAGTGTCTGCATGTGTCTGCCAGGTCCGGAAATTCATGCGGACATGGTTCTTCCCTTCCGGAAAAGAGCCCATAGACTTGCTGGTGAGGGGCCCGCAGCCAGACATGTTCCTCGGCCTCGGAGCTCACGGGCATTGAGCATCCCAAGTCGAGTGAAGCCAAGCCGTTTCAGAGCTGCGATGAGATTGCCGCTTACCGATGAATGAAGCGCCGGAAGGACGTCACCGAAGCGGGAACACGGGTTACTGATGGCCCGATGTGCTCAGGTGGGGCACCCCGAATTCGTACTTCACGCTGAACGAGCGTTGGTGCCTTTGATTTGGCCTATGCAGGTCTTCAGTCGTTTCTTCTGCACACTAGTTGAACCCTTTGCAGCATTCCATGTCCTGGCTTGGATCACGCAGCCTTACTCAAGGTGTACAGCAGATCACTTCAAGAATATGCGAATGGTCTTCGACACAACCTTCTGTGGTGACCGGCCAAAGATTTAGTCGCACAGAGGCAGGATTCAGCAGGTACAGGCTCATGCACCGTCACTACGATTACCTGCAGCGCAAGGTTTCGATCTTCGGGAAGACAAGGTGTGGTCAAACATAATAATAATGGTTGCTACTGGTTGCAATCACTCACGCCACGCAGCGAGACCTTTGAGGATGGCACGGCAGCGAGAGAGAGAGAGAGAGAGAGAGAGAGAAGCACGGCCTTTGTGTGAATGAAACTCATTCGCGCCCGCAACAGTCGGGGGCGCACCAGCGCGTGGTGTAGGGGGACAAACCCCTACACCCTAACCCTGACGAAAAAAAAAGAAGCACGTTGTTGTAGGTCTTCGGGCCAAGGTGTTGTTGGCAGCCCCTAGACCCCTTGCGAACCAGCAAGCAAGAAGCACGGTGTGAGTCACTTTCAGTTCTAGCGCCTCCCTTGTACAAGCCAGCTAGGCGACTATGCTGGTTCGACCTTCAAGCCAATGTGTCCGTGGCTCCAGACAAGCTGCGAGGAGCCTTGGGGTCTCTTGGCATGCTCCAACTTGCATATCCTGTGAATCATGTCTCGGCGGTACGTGTGCAGTGGCGGGGCTTCGGAAGGACTACGTGCGGAACAACCCGGAGGCATTCAGCTGCTTGGAGCAGAAAGTTTGCTCTGGGGCTGTGCGTGGTTAGGCATGAGATTATCGGCGTCGCAAGCCTGGATTCTGTGACACAGAGGTGATGCTTTCTGGAGCATCAAGACTTTGGCGCCTTGGCAAATGAGGGGATTCAAGACTTAACCGATCTTAACCGGTTAAACTATGCAAATGTTTCCGTACTATCTGAACTTCACATGGTGCAGGATCGTGACGACACCATCCAGGGTCCTGCGGGAAACCGTAGATGTGAAACCACCCCCGTAGTCGTAGTAGTGATCTGACAGCCTTCTCGTGCATGGCTGCATGGCTGCAGAAGCGCAGGACGTCTACCAAAAGGTTGATGCAGCGACGTTAGCCGCCCCTCTTCCGCATTCTGCATCGATTGCTAGAGCAAGAAGAGAACCGGTCGATTCTGTCAAAGCCACAGCTTCGCTGGGGCGTGCGGTGGTTTTCGCACATTCTGTCCCGCGGACATGCTGAGTTTGCAAGGCGCAGGCACCGGTAATGGTGAGTGATGCGACTGGTGGAGATATCGATGGAGCGCCGAACAACAACA